CAAAGTTTGCAAGGGAAAGTGTAGCAGACCCAAGGTTTAAATTAAGGATTGTCCTAGCATTATCTAGCTGCCTTTTCTTGTTGCTATCACACACGTCTATTTTTTGCTAACATCATAACAATATAAATTAAATAGCTTACCTTGCGTGCTGGATTTTTCCCAATAAATGGATAAAATAAATAAATACGAAAATAAATAAATGAATGAATAAATAAGCTATTCGAAATACAACAGGGGAAAGTAGCGCAGTTTCTAACGTGTGAGTTTCCTAGAGCTTAAAAGTTCGGGGGAAGAAGGAAAAAAAAATCTTTGGGTTCAAGAGATGCACTGAGGAGCCAGAAACTTGACTATAACTTAGCTCCATTTCATTTGCAAAGCCGTTAAAAGACTGGAAGGGATGGTATATAAATCTATTGTACCGGAAATACAATAAAACTTAGCCATGTTGTTGAACTTCAAACAGTTTACAGCATGTCAGGCAGTGAACAGAAAAGACAACACGGAGTGGAAACACACGCACACACACAACACCCCTCTCCCAATAAAAAAGAAAAAAAAGCAAACCAAGCTTCCAGGCAGCAAAAAGTGGGGAAACTGAGTTGAGGGTTTGCAAGAGACTCCTATGTATGTATTTTGTGTAAGGCTAGATTTCTGGGGGGTAGGGGGTGGGGAAGCGAGACATGGAAAATATATATATTATTAAGCATCTTTGGCATCGACTCTAATTTAAAATGAAGATACACCTTTTTTTCACATAGATCTTCTCCGGTTTTATCCCAATCATGACTCGTCAATATAGGAGAGTTCAAGTTTAAATCAAACTCTCAGCGACGGAAAAAAAAACAACCTCAAAGGCTAAGTGACTGAAACTTTTAGTTGCGTTTCATGGACAAATTGAATGGTGCATTTATATAGTGGGGAAGAGGGGAGTGTATGCAAAAAAAGGAAGGCAAACGTATGTACACGACAAGCACAATTAAAAATGAGAATCATTTTTATATTGGCTTTTGTTTGCTGCAAGGAGGAGTTTTAAAATATTGGGACCACTCGATTTTCGTTTTTTCCTCTCGCAAGGTCATAAGGCAAACTCCAGCATGAACGTGGCTGTTGCAGTGAAGCCCCCACTCCTCTTTACAAAACTGGTAGAAGGGACATCTTTATAAATTTGTGCTGAAATTTGGAAATAAAAGATTCCCTCTATCAAATTACAGACTGAAAACATAAATAAAGAAAACGACTTCAGATAAGCTGAAAACCAAACCCACTTGTCATTTAATTTCATCATTAGGTTTAAAAATAAATAATACGCAGTAAAAAGAAACAAAATTAAACAAAACATAGAAAGAAGGAGAAGAAGAAAAGAAACTTAAAGGGAGAGGGGACCCGAGTTTAATCCCTGGTTAGAAGAAAATTTTTAAAGTAATGGGATTTTCTATTTATTCTGGCTATTGGTAGAAATTCTTAAAAAGGTTTTAAATTTAGCCATCAGAGACAAATTAGGGATCTTAGATAGTAAATGAATTACTTAGCTATAGGACAACTTCCACTAGTCAGGGGAATAGGTGCTAAAATAATTAATAGGTTGTAGGGAATGAAAGTGTGTGTACCCATACATCAGCAAATGTATAGATGTATATGTATCTATTACACACACATAAGCACATATTATAGCACGATATATTGCCAGTCATATGAAAACATTATATTGATTCTCCATAGTTCATTATGGGTTTCCTTGTGATTTAGTTAGATCTTCACAAAGCTATATTTTTATTAAAATATTGTTATAGCAGCTGTTTTCTACAGTGCCCATTCATCAGAATTAGCCTCTGGGAGTATTTGGCATCAAGTTCCTCGAGAGTTGTATGAATATTTTCAAACAGAATGTGCTACATATGGGAAGCCCTTATCTCATGGAGATGACTAAGATGAAAAAGTTGGCTTAAACCCCCCCCCCAACCAAAATCCACAACACAGCGCTGCCTGAATGCCATTGGAAAAGGATATCAATGGGGCTATTACGGCAGAGTTAATTCTTTTTAGCTTATGCCTCAGCCTAAAGGACATAAAACAAATAAACAAAAACTATGAGGAAATGTTTCTTAGCCACATGCCTTGGAAATAACAAACCATATTTCTGTTATCGCTTAAATCATTAAGACCGGAGCAACAAAGAGAAAAAAAAAAAAAGAAAAAGAAATAATACTGCCCTCTCCGAAATGTTTTGCTTTGGTCGCATCTAGTGACTTATCATCACATGGAGACCCGAGCTGTTAATTCTGGCAAGCCCCTATTAGCTCTGCTCTCTCTCTTCCCCTCCCCCCCCCCGACTTTTTTTTTCCCTCTCTCAGTTTCATCCTGAGATTTTGGAGCCAGATTTTGACTTATCTATCAGTGAAGTTGCCACTTCGGCTGATCTCTAGGCGGCGCTCTCTGGTCAAATACGTATTAAAAATAAATTCCTTCTCCAGCTCCAGAGGCTGGCCGGGGTTTTTTCCCCCCCCCTTTCCACTCTTTGCAATCAGCCAGCTGCCAGCTATAGTTTCAGCTTTTGTTTCCTCTGCCAAGGATAAGACAAACATTTGTAAATGTGTTTGGATGCAAAAGAAAGGACGAATGAATGGTAAATTAAACGATGGTTTCAAATGATACATTTCCCTTATTTAAACAAAACAATCGGGAAACGCAGCTACGTTCCCCATGTAGAAACCCCCCCCCAAAAAACTATTTCTCTGAACCCATTTCAGAGCACGTATCTTTGAGTTTAGATTGTCAGTAAAAGTCTGTTCGTTCTTTTCTCTCTGAAGCGGGGTATCTGTGATAAATCCAAGATAAACGGGATTGACGGATGCGTTTAAAATAAGTTTCTGCAAAACATGGAATAGCCAGGAATTTTTCCAGTCACAAGTACTTGTATAGGAGTGAGCAACCCAGGGAAGAAATTAAACCCAGAATCCTTTTACATTTCACATCAGCATATTTTCACATTGACGTTATTACCCACGCAATCCGCTTTATTATACTGTTAATTCATTGGGACGCAGAAATACATAAAGTCAGTCAAGGCAGATACAATGTGTGAACGTCACTCAAGGCGAACTGGCGTTGGGCCAGTAGCACGAATCAGATTCAATGACTGAAGCTGCAGAGTCACAGATGTCAATTAACAATTAAATGCGAATCGGGCAATGAAAAAAATCATCATCGGAGATGATGAAGCCACGCAGCCATCATCTCCGAAATGGGGAGGTTGGAGAAGAGGAGGAGATGGGGTGGAAAAGTCCACAGGCTACCTAGGATCCCAAGAGCAGCGCAAGCCATTATCCAACATAAAATATTCAGAGCCCACCTGTGTTTGTTAGGATACGAGAGCTAGGGAGCCAATTCCGGTAGGGGGAAGGAGATACAATTAAAGGGAGGAAAAAAGGGGGGCACCATCCGCTTGCAACAGAGTCAATTAAAAATTGATCTAAAAACGTAGCTTCGGGTCCTGCGTCTGCCCTGCCAGGTTCTGTGGTTTTGCGATCACGTTGCACATTATTTAAAAGTAAAGCAGAGCCCTAGAAAGTACCCCCGACTCTTTCTCTCACCTGTTGCTGCATGAAAGTTTCCCTCAAAGGAGAAGAGAAATTGACTATGAAGCGTGAAACCGACTAGACACGAATGGGCGGGACGTGCCCGCGCTTAAATTTAGCCCTGACTCTGATCTCTTTCCGAGTTCACGTTGGGGGACGGGGACCGCAATAGCAGGTAAACATCTTGCAGAGGGGACAGAGATTATTTGGTTTTAAGAGCCCTCATGTGCCTTGAAGTGAGCCTAGGGAAAGCCGTAGGAAACCACAGGACAATGCCATTCGGGTTTTCCCAGGGCACACCTGAGCGCATTGAAAAAAAAAGCCGCTATCCTCACTACCGCGGTTTTCTGGGATGAAGAGAGTCATTTTCTGCAAAGAAAATCTTTGTAACTGACCCCTGCCTGGATGTGCCGGAAGGGTCTGATCGACACCCCCCCCCCAATGTCTGAAGAATTAAGAAAATCTGAATGCAGGACGGAGTCTCACGTCGGTCTCTGTGATTCAAAGCAGACTCAGGAGCGAGGGTTTTCAGCAAGAAATATGAATACAAACGAAGGAGGTATATTTAGCGTGGACAGGCTCCTCTAACTACTCCTCCAGTTTTCAGCTGGGGCCCCGTATCCATGTAACACTTGGTACGGGAGAGAAAGTGAAAAATGTTCCTTTTTTACCCAGGCCCTGAGCTTAAAATTATATTTCAATAACTCTTCAATAACTACTTTATCAAACTGATGGAAAGCCAGAGGGGCTGTTTCTCAGTTAATTTAGATATTAGAACCCCCTCCCCAAGGCATTATCCTGGGCTGAATCGGAAGTTAAATTGTCACATTAACTCCATTTACACTGGGTCCCTCGAAGGATTCAACATGTGAGTTAACCTCAGTCACATGAATAACCCCTCGGACTTTAGTCAAAGCACTCACATGCTTGGCTGGATCGGACTCTGTGAGAAAGGGGGTGGGGGGAAACCCGCTCTATTTTTAAATCTTCATTAGTCTCTGCAGATGCAACTAAGTTACTGACTCAGTCAATTGAGATTTCCATTAATTAGCAGGAGAATGTTTTGGTGAAGCGGCTAAAACTAAGCCTTAAAAAGTAATTTAGCAGCAGGTACAGAAAAATAAGAATCGTTACATTGATTGCGCTTAAATAATAGAAACGACCAAAAAGCTTTACACCATCTTATTTTATGAGCCAATGAGCAGTCAATCTGCAAATGCGCATTTAACTTTTCTAAATTAAACTTTTAGTTTAGCTGACTTCCCCATAGCTTCCAGGGATTGGGGGGGGGTGGTTAGG